TATATATATATATAATTATAGCTAATATAATATAATATAATATAATATAATATACTCACCAGCCACTTTATTAAGCACACCTGTCATACTGCTCGTTAACGCAAATTTCTAGTTAGCCAATCACATGGCAGCAACTATGCATTTAGTTCATGTAGGCATGTAGACATGGTCAAGACGACCTGCTGGAGTTCAAACTGAGCATCAGAATGGTTAAGAAAGGGGATTTAAGTGACTTTGAACGTGGCATGTTTGTTGGTGCCTGACGGGCTGCTCTGAGTATTTCAGAAACTGCTGATCTACTGGGATTTTCATGCACAACCATCTCTAGGGTTTACAGAGAATGGTCTGAAGAAGAGGAAATATCCAGTGAGCGGCAGTTCTGTGGGCGCAAATGCCTTATTGATGCCAGAGGTCAGAGGAGAATGGCCAGACTGGTTCCAGCTGATAGAAAGGCAACAGTAACTCAAATAAGCACTCGCTACAACCGAGCTCTGCAGAAGAGCATCTCTGAACACACAACACGTCCAACCTTGAGGCAGATGGGCTACAGCAGCAGAAGAGCACACCGGGTGCCGCTCCTGTCAGCTAAGAACAGGAAACTGAGGCTACAATTCACACAGACTCACTTAATCTGGACAATAGAAGATTGGAGAAACGTTGCCTAGACTCTAAATTTGACGTCAACACCATGAAAGCATGGATCCATCCTGCCTTGCATCAACGGTTCAGGCTGATGGTGGTGGTGTAATGGTGCAAGGGATCTTTTCTTTCTTTCTTTCTCTTTGGGCCCATTAGTACCAATAAGCATTGTACTAGTAAGATGTTCCTAATAAAGTGGCCGGCTAGTGTGTATTTACATATCTGTAATTTCAAGGGTTGAAAAATAGATGTAAGAGGTTATTAATGTAAAATATATGCATATATATGACATGTTTTATATATGTGAAATCCAGATATGAACGTGTATGTCATATATGCATTTTTCTTTTTACTATATGGGAACGTGGGCAGCACAATGGTGCACTTGCAAGCACAATCACCTCACAGCTGGAATGTCACTGGTTCGAGTCCCAACTGGGTCAGTTGGCATTTCTGTGTGCAGTTTGCATGTTCTCCCTGTTGACGTGGGTTTCCTCCAGAAGTCCAAAAAACATGTGGTATAGGAGAATTGGGTTAGCTAAATTGTCCGTGGTGTATGAGTGTGAATGAATGTGTATGGGTGTTTCCCAGTGATGGGTTGCAGCTGGAAGGGCATCCGCTGCATAAAACATATGCTGGATAAGTTGGCAGTTCATTCCGCTGTGGATTTATAAAGGGACTAAGTTGAAAAGAGAATGAATATGGGAATGTATATAAACTCAATCCATCTTCAATCTGCCCTTTCAATCCAGATCAAATGCGAAGAGCAGGAACGACAGGCACAAACAGGAAGGAAGTCACTCCAGCCGCAGCCCCCCTCCCTCCCCCAGCACCGAGCAGCCAATCACGTGGCAGAATGGAAACCACAGCATACGGGTGCGCAACGGAAAAGACTCGGGAGCCAATCACGCGGAGGGGAATAAAGGGAACGATGTATGTAGTCTCATCTATTTTACCTCCATCTGTTCTCGGCTGTTTACACTAACAATCTCTCACACACACACACACACACACACACACACACACACACACACACACACACACACACACACACACTTCTCTGACAGATTCAGTCATATCTGTGTGAGCTGACTATATCTTTCTCCCTCTTTTGGCTCCATTCTGTGAGTTTTTCAGTTCTCAAGCCATTTTTTTGTGTTTGTCGGGAAGGGGTTTTGTTTCGTCAAGGCAGATCTCCATCATTTTCCTTCTGTAATAACGTCATGCTTAATTTCATGTACGAGCCATGTTGACTTTTTCAGTTCTAGAAAGAGAATGAATGGAAAAGTTGGGTTTGTATAAACCAGTGGATAAAAAAAAACTAATCTTCATTAGACAACACACAAATTTACAGGTTGTGGCATCTGATAACCCACCATTAATGTATATAAATCATCAGAAATTAGATTTATTGTTATATTTTACATTTAAATTAAATTATTTAATCAATAAAAACGCAATCAAACCAACAAAACGAGCAACAAGTTCTCATAATTACATATAGACCTCTTTCTTAGAATGCAAAATTACCCTTTAGGCAAGGAGAATGCTAAGAACTTCCGGTGTGGCAGCTGTGCGCACAGACCTGCACTTCCAGACCAGACAGTGCCCCCTGCTGTTGGGTTGGGTGAAGCGGCAGGTACGGAGACTCAACTGCACACTCAGACCAGCACTTTCTAGCAAGTAGCAGCATCAGAAATGCCAGTAAGGTTATTGATTATTAAAGCGGTTCCTGAAAATTACCAAGTTTTATGGCATAAATCAATGTGGTGTAAAATATTACACTAACAAAGAATTATTTCAGTGTTTGATTTGATCAAAATTAGTGTCAAAAGAGCATTATTTTATGATATTTACAGCTTGCTCTTATTTTATCCATTATTGTACCATTCTGGGACAATTTTCTAACAATGTTTTCTAGCAAAATAAAAACAAAACTGTAAAGTAAAAATGTTAAAATAAAATGCAGCCTATAATATATAGCACAATTATTATTTGTAACATATTTCATTGCTGTATAGTTCTACTGTACATATTACTGTATTATCTGTCTGAAAGTGCAACCAAAGACAATAACAGTAATACAATAACAGTTTATCAATTATTTATAAGTTCTGTAATGATTACAAACACGTTTTTTGGAAATCAAAATATCAATTAAATTTGCATAGAATTTACAATATGAGCTCTATTAGGTGAAATCAAAACTAATTTGCTTGTGGTGTGTATTTTTTCCCAGATTGATATTACAATTTAAAAAGTGGTTCTCTGCCAACAGTAATACAGTGTGCCAAAGACTGCAGATATTTCCAGTTTTTTGCTCTAGAAATGAAAAATATCCCCAATAAGAATGTAAAGCATTTATGTTATTTTCTACCTAAAAAATAATTATTACTCCAATTATTATTTTTCACCATTTTTCTATGCATTGTTTACAACTTGACTTGTAGGACCTCATGAAAAAGTACACAAAAATAAAGTTTGTTGTGAGAAAATTACTTGGAGTACTATAATTGTATGTGAAGAAATTTATTGTATATGAAGATAATATTCATTCCCTCAACTTAATACGAAACAGTGATAAACCCTTAATGATAAAAAAACAACAACAAATGTCTGAAAATATTGAAGCAACTGAACAATATATATTTACAAATACAATTAATAAAAATACAACAGAATTATTGCATTGCATCAAAAATCTAGTACATTTAATATTTTATATAATAATCTATTCAATCATAGTCTAATATTTTATAGTAGAAAAATTGTTTAAATTACAATTTAGAAGCAGCTGAAATCAGGTTAGTCGATCTTTTAAACAGCAGGTGAAGGTCTGGAAGTGCAGGTCTAGCCGTCTGAGCGAGCAGGTCTGAGCGTGCGGTTGGGTTTCCGGGCCTGCAGCTTCCCCTTACTCCTGAAGGGTGGCAATCAACATTAAAGAGCAGAGCCTCCCTATTTTGCAACCCATACCGCCGAACCACTAGGGGTCACCGCTTGCCCTTAAATGCGAGTCTGTTCTATTGGCCCTTCAGAGAAAGACTGAAAATTTGGGAGAAATATGTGAAAATACCTTTACGGGATGATTGTGGGATAGAACTGTAAGATTCAGGAGAATCCCGTTAAAAATGGAAGCGTTAACAAGTGTGAATATCTGACTTCAGCATTGTTTTTCAGATAAACAGGAATGTTCACTTAGCATGTTTCTTAAATATCTGCAAACATATTATGGTATTTTTGTGCTTTGGAAAAGTCAAAAACTTACATACAGCACCTTTAATTCAGTAAGTTACTTGTTATTTTCAATGCAAAAGTTGACGTTTTTAATGTGAATTAATTTATTATAATTTATAATCTATTATTATTTATTAAAAAAACTGCAATTTAAAACTGCAATTATTTATAAAAATAAATGCAATTATTTTAAATAAATTATATAAATAATACATTTTATTTTATATTCGCTATACTCACATTATGCATTTGCTCAAAATAAAGAGTCAAGTTTTAAATCAATAATTAAAAAAATTGTTTATAGGTTTTTCCTTATCTTCTGTCGGCTTTTTTATTTCGTCCCATATTATATTTGGATACGGTAATGGAGCAATTCAACAAGAACAGTGGCAGCAGCATTATTGTTAAAGCAATAGTGCCACATTAATTGCATTTGCTCTATCCCTCCCAAAAAAACGCAGAAGATTAAATATGCATAACCTATTATTATGCATTAATATCAACAAACAACAGTATTAATGCAACTGAAGAGTGCCGAATTGTTCATAAATCTGGTCAACACTTCTCTGGGCCGGATTGCATGCATCAGATCAGAAGTGCTGCTCATGCTCTTTCTCTCTCCTTTCATTTGCTTAATTCATCCCTCTGTTTTTTGTTGATTTCTTGACCTCTATGAATTCACATGATCTCTTCCCACAAATAAATGCCCAAACTTTTCTGTCTTGTTTGTGTAAAAAGCATTCATATGATTTGGAACTGGACCGAGTAGATTAAATGGGTATGTCTACTGGTTTTCTCTTGTCAATAACAGTTGAAACTCTCATTTCCTGCTCAGTTGTGTATCAGGTGTATCAAAGAGCCGCTGTGAATAAGATTGTACTTTATTTCTGATCATGTTTCTGTGATGTAAGGTGAAAGATTGTTAATCATGAGCCAGTGGTTTTCATTAACCACTCCCTCAGACGCTTTCAGCCAATCAGCTGTCATTCTGGTTCTGCTGCGAGGATAAATGAGTCTGAATGTTACAATCACAGATAGGAAATAGGCGAATTAGCTCCGCCATCTTGGCAAGGTCAATGAAGTGCATTTGAATATTAATTAATTAGTTAATTCATTCATTCATTCATTCATTCATTCATTTATTTATTTATTTATTTATTTATTTATTTATTTATTTATTTTTTTATTTTTTATTAATTTTTTCTATGTATGTATGTATTTATTTATTTATTTATTTATTTTTTATTTATTTTTTTATGTATTTTTTTTTTTTATTTATTTATTTATTTAATATGTGACACTAATCTTTACAGTTTTGATTCATACAGTGTTTATATTTGTTACTACATTTTTTATTCAACAATATATATATATATATATATAATTTCCAAAATTAACAGAGAGAAGATTTGTTCAACACATTTCTAAACATAATAGTTTTAATAACTCATCTCTAATAACTGATTTAATTTATCTTTGCCATGATGACAGTACATAATATTTGTGTAGGTATTTTTCAAGACACTTCTATAAAGTAAAAAAAATATATACATACAAATTATACAAATACATACACTAGATATCTAATTCTGACACTGAGCATGCGGCCATACCGCCGCCATATTTGTACAGGGGACAAAATTCATTCGACTGCACTAATCAATACTAAAGCCAATCTGATGATGCTGGACTTTTACACTGCGCACAGGTGTAGTAATGAGCAAACTTAGAAAACTAAGCATGAAGATAGAACAATTCATAGGTAAGATTTTGTTTTTTACGTTTTTGTATGTTACGAACTTTTGTGCTAAATAGGTCACGTAATTGATGATAATACAGTCACTTACTGCACTGACCATGAGGCGAAAGAGCACCAACTCGCACTGTTATTAAGCTTAAGCTAGTTTTGTTGAATAAAATCAACAAACATTGTAAGTGAAATATGACAACAAGATGCTGCGGTGCTAGAAACTTGTATTAATGTTGACTAAGTGAAGTAACGGCTAGTTTAAGGAACTTATAAGGGTGCTTGGTAAAAGATTGAATATTAAAAATGTTATATACCATTTAGATCAGAAAGGTGGATATGCACGTTGGTTCACATGAGTCCTTCATAATGGAGACTCGTTCACAAATGAATCACTCCGTTAGAATTAGAAGTGAAAGCGGCAAACGGATTCGATCAAATTTAACAGGGAGGGAGGATAATACACTTCCATGCACACAAACACACACTCTTTGTCAGCAATGCCTATGCGATCACTTATCTATCGATGTAGAAAAGTGATGTAAAATAATAATTTTCATAATTCAAAACAAATATTTGCCTACTGACCACCAGGAAAACTCCTTATCATATATACACACACACACACACACACACACACACACACACACACACACACACACACACACATACATACATACATACATACATACATATATATATATATATATATATATATATATATATATATGGCTCTGGATGGACAGTTCTCCGCTCTACTTTACTCCAACATTCATTTCAGAGGAGTGCTACCCTACCCAAAATGACGGTTCTATTGGCAACTTCCAATAGACAACAATAGCATAGGCGACTTCTAATGTAAATATCTATGCATATTAATAATGATTTTATATATATA